TATATATATACATGTCTGTGTTAATATATAAAATAAAAATATTAATGATAAAATATTTTTTATATAAAATATATAATATAAGAAATTATATATATATATATATATATATATATTAGTTGTGTACCCGCGCAATGCAGCGTGAGCCATGAATTTTTTTAACGATTTTGAAGTTCCACTGGTTTTATAAGATAAGATTTAACGATGATATATGTTACAATTGGTCTTTACATATTAATACAATTTGAATAAATAAGAGTTATGGTTCCAATTATAGACTATCGATAAAAAAAATTGTATGACAGTCTAAAATCCAATATATTTAAAATCCAACATATTTAAACGACTCCACAAATGTGTTCGATTTACACCAAGATAAAAGAATCAAGAAACTTGAGTTTTAAGATAAACTCTCAAAACCAATAAAGAAAACTACAAATTTGACATATCATAAGCCATGAAAAAACCAAAAAAGATGGGTTTTATAATGAAATTTCAACTGCTTACCCTCTTTCTTGTCCAGAAACTCAGATTAAGGTTGAATTAATACATGTGTATATATATTTCAAAAAAAAACCCAAGAACATATTAATTTAGAACATATTATACAGTGCAATTTGGACAGTCTAACCCCAAAATATATAATATATATATATATATATATAAATAAATAACTATGACAGTATAAATCGTAAATATTAAAAATATTTTTCACTGTATATATAACATATAATAATATAATTAAGTAAAAAACTATTCAATATTGGACTCATTTCGAAGGTATTAACAAGACGATTATAATGGTGTAACTTGTTAAAATAAAAATGTATTTTTTAAACATGTTTTAATTGATATACGATTATGTATATTAATTTGATAAATGTTTAAAATGAAACATTTAAAAGTAAAAGACGTAAAGTAAATTAATTAACTAATTATAGAAGTATAAATTGTAAATTTAATTTAAATTTTAAAAAAATCGTTGTGAGAGAGTGAGTGTATGTGAGGAAAGGAGAAGGTGAAAAAGTGATATAAAGGGTATCTTAGTTATTTAGTATTTTAAGACTTTAAGACTTTTGTTAAATTTGATTTATAAGATAGTATAAATAATTATAGATGTGTATATTAATATGTAAAATAATAATAATAAAATATATTATATTTTGATTGATTTTGACTTTTAATCATGGTTCAAGTTTCAAAAATAATTTCACACCCCTATTAAGGGGTACCATTAGCACTCCCCTTTAATTTTCGTTATTATGTTTTTTCATAATTTTCGTCGTTATAAACTACGGATGTCATCATTTTCATTGAGAGAAAGGTTAATTTGAGAAGTGGTAAATGTATGAGAACTAAAGAAGTAATCATGATTTTTCATTTGATCAACATTTGTAGTTTTGACTGTGAAATATTTAATAATTTCTCGCATGAGTAAGCGGAAGAGAGAGAGAGAGAGAGATGCAGTTTTTTTTACTTTTACAAATTGACGGCAAACGGGTTCATATGTGAACCGTTAATTAATTCACATGTTAACAATTTAACTGATTTACATATGAACTCACAGATTCATATGAGAATCAGTTAATTAATTCATATGTGAATCACATGGGTTTGTATGTGACTCGGTTAAAATATTTCATATGTGAATTGCACGAGTTCACAGATGAACTCGTTTGCCGCTTATTTATAAAAACTACGAAACTAACCCCCAATATTTTTTTGGATAGCAGTAAATTTTGACCAGCTGTAACCGCAATTATTGACCAGTTAAATCCGATCTTAACTATAGGAAGGGATACAACCAATTTCGTTTCTTCCCTATTTTCGGACATAGAATCTGGTTATCTAACTTTCTAAAATGAATGTTTTAAAAACTAATTCCTCAAAATAAGAATAAAAACAAAATTAATTTTATTCTTAATTTAATTCACACTATTAAAAACGTGTAAGTGTTGCATTCATTTACGATAATTTAATGGATAATATTTAACAATAAGATTTAATTAAATTATAGAAAAATAAAAAAAAAACTAATTTTTTTTATTTTGAATGATTTAGTGCATAATTTTTTTTAAAGAAAAAATCATTAAACTTTCTCATTTTGAATGATTAAGTTATTAAACTGTTTTTTTAATGAAAAACTCATTAAACTTTCTCATTTTAAATGATTAAAATATAAATATTTCAACGGGTTTTTTTAACACCCTTATATAATTCATTGTTTAACAGAAAGGGTCAATAACTTGTTTTGAATGACCTAAAAATTCATATTCGAATCCCATCATGAATCACTATTAGTATGTCTTAAATCAACGATAAAAATTATTTTTTAAATCACGGATGTCTGCGTCAACTTGTACATACCTTGATTAATCTTAGTTTAATTAAAGAAACAGTCAGAAAAATCCTCAGTAGCTTTGCAGAACTCGTACCGCTATCCTCTAAAAATCCCCCCAAAACTCAAGTTTTATTGCTGGTTTAGCTAACTCACAAGGTTCACAATAAGATTTCACCATCTCAACTTTAGCTTCTAACGTCTTAAAAAAATCATCGTACAAATTACATAAAACACTGCATTTTATAACCATGTAATAAACCAAAAACCAGATTAAACAAATTAACGCAGCTGATAAATCTTACAAGGAGTAGGATTTGAGAACGATAAAATGTATGTAAAAATGATTATTTTTGCATATTAATTACTTGATTATATATTTGAAAAATAAATCTTGATGTAGAAAATGATGGCGGAATCCACACGGAGTATTTAATTTTGGTTGGATCCAAAAATGGGTTCTCATTATTAAACAAAGTGTTCTTGAAGTTGACAAGAAACTAACACAACCTCATTCTATTCATTCTTACATTTAACCCAAAAGAGTAACATTTAGGTGTCATAATTCCATCTAAAAACAAACCCCGTTTTGTCGGAATTTCATTCTGTTACCAAATAGCCATGAAACAAACACATACACGATCAACGGTATCTATCAAGATTCAAACTTGATTAAGTCATACAAAAGAGTTCATAATTATCGACCTTTTGTTTACAAGGTCATGGTCGTATTCAAGCAATCGTATCGGTTAAAGAAAGCAAACCCGAACGAAAAAGGAAAAGAGAAAATGTCAATGAAGCTAAGATAAGCTAGATCGTCTTATTATAAAGCTAAAAAAACAGTTAATTAAGTAAAAGCTCCGATCCACACGTGAGCAACAAACGAGTGAGAGAGAAAGCCAGCTCGCACTGATTGTGACAGTGATGAAAGTATCTGATCACCTTAATTATTAGTATCATACTCTCTCTCTCTCTCTCTCTAGAAATGAGCCTGCAATTTCTTGATCAGTACTGAAAACAGTAGCCATTGATGAGTGATTCTTGATGATAACTCAGACTGAACAAGCTTGATATGATTGCAGTGATCAGAGGGGATTGAATCATACTATGTAGGACTGAATCAGATCATCATATATACATTTATAACAGCTACAAGTACTATATATATTAGTTATTTTTGGCTTTTATATATAGTTTTAGGCCACCATTATTTTCCCTTTTTCTGGTTTTCTTGCCTTTTAAGCACCCCTTTAAACCCACCCTCTTCAAAAACTAGTATTTCTTTCAACCCTTCCCTCTTCATAATCTCTCTCTCTCCTCTCTCTCTCTCTCTCTCTCTCTCTCTCTCTCTAGCTCCATCTGCAGATAGCATGCCTGAATGTCCAGAGAAAGGTCCATCTCTCTCTCTCTCTCTCTCTCTCTCTCCCCTATATAGTTATATGAATCTTGATCAAACCATAACTCTCTTAATTGGTAGTCTTGAAACATCCATCATATGTCGGTGCTAAGATCTTGAAAGAGGTGGCAACTTTAACCTCTATAGCAAGTTTTTGATGGGAACAAGAACCCTAATCATACTTCATATTTCTTGGTGTTTTATTGATTAATTTTTGATGATCTGTGTTGAGTTTCTTAGAGATGAATTGGGTTTTTTTGTTTATCTAGGGAGAGATTTGATGAGATAGGGAAGAAGATCAAGAGAGACATCGATGCATCGTTTCAATTGGGAAGGAGACATATGTTAGGGCTTCCTGGAACCCTAAACACCATCACACCTTGTGCTGCGTGTAAGCTTTTACGCCGTAGATGTGCTCAAGAATGCCCCTTTTCACCCTATTTCTCCCCTCACGAACCTCAAAAGTTTGCCTCCGTTCACAAAGTATTTGGTGCTAGTAATGTCTCCAAGCTGCTCATGGTATGATTCAAGATTCATTTCAACTTGTTGGGACTTTCTCAAAATAGTCTCAAGATTATGAAGATTCATTTCAACTTGTTGGGACTTTCTCAAAATAGTCTCAAGATTATGACTTTGAATCTTGAAAGGTTTAATAGTAGTTTCTTGATGACAAAGATCTAATCTTGTTATGTTTGTTTATGCTATATTCACATGTGATGATAATTTAGGAAGTACCCGAGAATCAAAGAGCCGATGCCGCGAATAGTCTTGTTTACGAAGCGAATGTAAGGCTAAGAGATCCGGTTTACGGGTGCATGGGAGCGATTTCATCTCTACAACATCAAGTACAATCTCTACAATCTGAATTGAATGCAGTAAGAGCTGAGATTCTAAGATACAAGTATAGTGAAACCACCCATCATGATCATCATCATCATATCATTCCTTCAACTCATCATTTAGCTTTGTTTTCTACTGGTGCTGTCTCAGTCACACCACCACCACCACAACAACAACGGCCTCCACCGTCTCCTCTACCGCCGCCGCCGCCTCCTCCACCGCCACCTCCTCCCGCCTCCTCCTCATCTTCCATGTACACCCCGCCATCCACCACCACAGATTACAGCACCATCACCAACGATAATGTCTCCTACTTCGGTTAATAGCTATAATTTTTTATGCTTTTTAATTTTCATTCACATATATGATTCACCATGAATAATATAGGGATTCCATTAGTGATCAGCGGTGAGAGATGATGTTGAGTATATTTAAATATTTAATTATCATATATTTATGACAGAAATTAAGCCATCTGTATCATCTTTAGATTCTGTTAATGTATGACTTCTCAATTTTCAAATATTAAACCTGACTTTCTGTGTATATCAGCATTCTTAATTACCATTTCTTTACTGTAAATTGTACCTTTAGCTGTACAACTGGTACATATATATATATGGGTGCTTAATATAACGTGTACCCTTCAATCCAAATCGTTAAGATACAATATCTTGATATATAATTTCTTAATTATAATAAAATATATAAAAAAAAGGATTAATTAATTTAAATAATTGTTCTTTCTTCTTCATCATCATCAACACCCTATCTTCTCTTTTGTCTTCATTAGAGTATCATTACTGTCTCTTCTCTTTCAGAAAACCCTAACGATGGCGACGTATCGAATCCGATCATTATTCTATATGATGTTCAATTCTCTGATACAGAAGACGCCTTATAAGGATGTGACGGATTTGGTCTAAGGTCATGGTTGCTTGCAATGGTGGCATCTTACATAATTGTCCATATTCAATTGGTTTTACTGATTTCTTTAAGACTAGTTGCAGATTCCATTGCCAACTATAACCTTTTCCTACCCCCAAAAAAATCCCATCTTTTAAGACCATCTTAATTAGGGTTCTTTATAGATCTTGGTTCGTTCGAAACTACATGTTATCGAACCAGATTAAGCTTATAGAAACTAAGTAAAAGGGTTGTTTGATTATATACAAGTGTTTCTTGACTGCGTTAAGCCATTAAGTCAAAACGACTATATGGAATAAGCCCGGAACCCTCCCTATTAAGTCACTCGAAACAAACTCATTAATACTAGAAATGGCACATAAACAAACAGCTTAATTCATTCAGGGTTTAATAGAAGAAAAAAGGGTGGCTGCTTTGCTAATTAATCAGATTGTGATTAAATCTAATTAAGGAGTTAATTGTTGTTGAACATTTCAAGAATTAGTAATGTGAATGAATTAATGAAGCATTAATGAGCAATTATGAAGTGGTAATCAATGATGGAGTGTTAATGAAAATGGGCGTGCAGAAATGGGAAATGTTTGTAGAAGAATTAAAAAGGGGGTGTGTTGAGGTTGGCATGGCATCACCATCGATAACAACATTTACTGGTATTTTCTTCATTCCATGAACCATGTCAAGAGTGTATTATACTTCAAAACAATTCCATCGATCTTCCAAACCAAAGGGTTGTTTGGCAATTGCTGAATGATTAAGTGATCAGAATGATTAAGAGGCTCTCATGATATAGTGCAAATTGAAATATAATTGTTTGGTAATTGTATACAATGAAATCAGTGTTCTTAATGGTTAAAAGAGATCCAGAATACAAAATCATTCAGATGGTTTTAGAACCATTAAGAGGCAAAATTTTATTTTGTCAAACAGTTTTCACCTCTTAACGATTCAGAGGTTGCCTCTTAATGAAACTATTAAGAGGTAAAGAAACAACCCCTAAATAATGAGTCTACACCATTTTCCTCATTTAAATTGGTCTCCTTACCATTTCTCTCTCGAGTTGACCCAAATGTCACTACTTTCGCAATACTACGGACTTAGCTAAATATCAAAAATTCAATACAAATATGTAATTATGACGGCCAGGTAAGCATTTATGACGATAAACTAGTTGAATTTGACATTTTTTTAATGTCTTTTAGCTATTGCGGACATGAGTATTGTGAATGTAGTGACATTTGGGTCAATCCGGAAGAGAAATAGTGAGGAGCCCAATTTGAATGAGGGAAATTGTCATTTGAGATAATTTCACTAGAATTAATTGCGTTTAGTTTTTTACCCTAAAAGAATTCTTCCGTTCTTTACAGTAAATACATATTTCAAGACATGTCACAGTTTGTGTACGTCTCGACTGATCTCGGGTCCTTGAAATCTCCAGTGACTTTGCACAAGTTGAACTAGTGATGTACTAGGAGAATTCCAGATGAATGAATGTTATAAAGATCTGTAGTTGAAAATATATATAATATAACACAAATTATATTTTCTGAAAAAAAAAATTCTAGTCGTTATTCCGTCACTCAAGCTCCCTATCAATTTCCAAATTTCCTACGATTATATTTGTTTTATTAAAATACAAAAATAATAAAGAAAAGAAAAGAAAAATAAAAGAATTTATTACGATTAGGTGAAAGAGAATCCCTCTTTGTCAATTTACATCTGGGGAATGATGTTTCAAGACTCCCTAAAATCTAATGGCGTACCCACATGACCCTCCTTAATTATAAACTATTTATTTATTTTTATTATTATTATTATTTATTATTATATCTAAAGAATAGTAATCAAATAAAAAAACATAAAACAGTCTAATCATATGTGATTCTACATAGAAGTCATGAGTCAAGTTCCTCTCATCCTTATGCTGATCATGTTCCATAATCACATGTGATTTAACTATAATTTTTTTTATTTTGACCTTGTTCATCCCCTTCTTGTTATTTATAAAAGACTCTAAATATATATATATATATATATATATATATATATATAAAAGATGAGTGAATTTGTAATTGACTTAAAAGTAAATTTCCACCTGCATTGGTTAAGCACTTTGTGATAATAAATATATACGATGGATTGGGTTCATATAGTGAGAAGCATAAGAAGAGATTTTCATCCTTAAATCAATTCTAAATAAATGTCAACACTAATCAGTTGCACCGTAATGCACTCGGTCACTTCCTTTCTAAAATGCAATTTATAGGTGGACATGAGATTAAAAATGATCAAGAGTTTATATTTTTTTTTCTTACACTTCTCAGCATAATTTGCATTCTCATATGATCTTTCGTTTATATACGAGATCAAATATTTCATAAAATTTGGATATTTTTAAAAAAATAAGGAATTGACATATATAGCCCTATATTTTACAAGTATATAACCAGTAGTTATTTAAAAACAAATAAATAAAATAATAAAAAGGGACAATTTTAATAGATGTCATCTCTAAACTTTAAAAACTCATATTTGGTTCTTCATGTTTATCAATTCCTAATAGTTTCAGTCTCTCTATCTAACGGTCATTAACTTTTTCTGTTAAGTCCAATTAAATAACGGGTATTTTGGTAATTTTCAATGCTTACACTATATTAAAATACATTATAAACACATTATATTTTACAGTTCAAGCTGTAAAACAAGAAAAATATAATTTTTTTTTTCTATTTTCGTTTTTTATTTTGTAATGAAAATAGTGAAAATGATTACGATACACTTCATTTAATTGGATTTAACGGAGAAAGTTAATGACCGTTCAGATAGAAAGACTAAAACCGCTGGGAATTGACAAACATAAATGACCAACTTCAAGTTTTTAAAGTTTATGGACGATATTCGTTAAAAATTGCAAAACGCTAGAGACCAAAATTAAACTTTATTCTCTAAATAGTAGGAATTAGTAATCTCGAACTCGAGACTCAAGGGAAATACAGTCTGCAATTTTACCAACCAAACTAAGGGGCCGTTTACCAAACATTTACCCGGGCAAATGTTTGGTAAATATTCGGAAATCTAAAATTTGTGTCAAAAAGAGGAATCTAGAAGGATCTTAATTTGGGTTACGTATCAGCCCATATACACTTGGGCTTTGGGTTTTTTAAAAATTATTGGGCTTTAAGATCTCTTTCCTATTATTTGCTAATCATGGCCCATTGGGCCTATGTTGAAATTTAATTCATATATAAATTAGAAGAGTACTCGTGTAATGTAGCAAGACACACCTCGATTTTAATGTTCTATTTTATTATTTGTCACTGTCGATGTTATAATATGATTTTATATGTTTTTTAAGAAAGCAACAATGATTTTATTTTTAAATAAAATATAAATTTGAAAATATAATAAAAATTTGAAAAAATATATATCAATGTTAATATCAAATCAACTATTTAAAAGTTCTTATTTT